CGAAGCGCGGGCCGTCGCCGTCATCAACCCTCGATTCTTCTTCAGGTGCGTCGTTGTGGCATGGCATGCCATGCCACAGCACATGTCCAGCATGGCATGCCACATGTCCATCATGGCATGCCACATGTCCATCATGGCATGCCATGCCACATGTCCAGCATGGCACGCCATGCCACATGTCACATGTCCAGCATGGCATGCCATGCCACATGTCTAGCATGGCACGCCATGCCACATGTCACATGTCCACCATGGCATGCCATGCCACATGTCTAGCATGGCACGCCATGCCACAACGGCATATGTCCAGCATGGCATGCCATGCCACATGTCTAGGATGGCACGCCATGCCACATGTCACATGTCCAGCATGGCATGCCATGCCACATGTCTAGCATGGCACGCCATGCCACAACGGCATATGTCCAGCATGGCATGCCATGCCACATGTCTAGGATGGCACGCCATGCCACATGTCACATGTCCACCATGGCATGCCATGCCACATGTCTAGCATGGCACGCCATGCCACATGTCACATGTCCACCATGGCATGCCATGCCACATGTCTAGCATGGCACGCCATGCCACAACGGCATATGTCCAGCATGGCATGCCATGCCACATGTCTAGGATGGCATGCCATGCCACATGTCACATGTCCACCATGGCATGCCATGCCACATGTCTAGCATGGCACGCCATGCCACATGTCACATGTCCAGCATGGCATGCCATGCCACATGTCTAGCATGGCACGCCATGCCACATGTCACATGTCCACCATGGCATGCCATGCCACATGTCTAGCATGGCACGCCATGCCACATGTCACATGTCCACCATGGCATGCCATGCCACATGTCTAGCATGGCACGCCATGCCACATGTCACATGTCCAGCATGGCATGCCATGCCACATGTCTAGCATGGCACGCCATGCCACATGTCACATGTCCACCATGGCATGCCATGCCACATGTCTAGCATGGCATGCCATGCCACATGTCACATGTCCACCATGGCATGCCATGCCACATGTCTAGCATGGCACGCCATGCCACAACGGCATATGTCCAGCATGGCATGCCATGCCACATGTCTAGGATGGCATGCCATGCCACATGTCACATGTCCACCATGGCATGCCATGCCACATGTCTAGCATGGCACGCCATGCCACATGTCACATGTCCAGCATGGCATGCCATGCCACATGTCTAGCATGGCACGCCATGCCACATGTCACATGTCCACCATGGCATGCCATGCCACATGTCTAGCATGGCACGCCATGCCACATGTCACATGTCCACCATGGCATGCCATGCCACATGTCTAGCATGGCACGCCATGCCACATGTCACATGTCCAGCATGGCATGCCATGCCACATGTCTAGCATGGCACGCCATGCCACATGTCACATGTCCACCATGGCATGCCATGCCACATGTCTAGCATGGCATGCCATGCCACATGTCACATGTCCAGCATGGCATGCCATGCCACATGTCTAGCATGGCACGCCATGCCACAACGGCATATGTCCAGCATGGCATGCCATGCCACATGTCTAGGATGGCACGCCATGCCACATGTCACATGTCCACCATGGCATGCCATGCCACATGTCCGGCATGGCATGCCATGCCACATGTCCGGCATGGCGTGCCATGCCACATGTCCAGCATGGCATGGCGCATGCACTTTATGGAGCACAGGTCGTGGGTCCTGGTTTAGACCTATCTTCCCACCCCAAACAACTCTCCTCCCCCCCAACCCACCTCAAGGTGTCTGGCGCACATCCTAAACCTTGCAGTGCAGCGGGCTCTCGGGTTGCCAGCAGTGGCAGAGCCACTCCGCCGCATGAGGGAGCTCTCGTCTTACATTGGCTGGTCATCTACCAGGTCCCCCATGTTTGAGGCGGAGCAGGCGCTTGTGTTCCCACCCGGGACCCCGGTTCTCCGATTGGTCAATGACACCCCCACTCGCTGGGGGTCGTCTTACGAGATGGTTGCCCGCGCGCTGAAGCTGAAACCAGCACTGACACTCTTCTTCTCACGACCTGAGGTATTTGAATTTGTTACCATTTCCTAGCTACTCGTCTCGTTCCACAGTCCAAGCCAAGCTCGTTCCCTGTTCTATTATAGTCTACCCTCTGCATGGTGTTGCTGATTTCCCCACCTCCCGCCCCATTGTACCCCTCCTCGCCACCCTCCCGCCCGCACCCCATAGGATGGTGTCCCCAGGCGGGCACGGGTGCAGGCGGCCCAGTGCAAGCTAGGGGATGCGCACTGGGAGGCAGCTGAGGTTCTGGCCGAGTTCCTGAAACCATTCAATGACATCACCACGGCGGCAGAGGGGTCCTTGTACCCCACCGCCGCCGCGGTGGTGCCACAGTATAATCTCCTCATAGATACCCTCGAGGCCTCGTTCCACAACCCGGGAACCAAGGCGCTGCGCAAGGAGATGGACAGGGAGGGGCTGGTGGTCCTGAAGAAGTATTTCTATGGGATTAGTGACGAGTTGGCTGTGGCGACGTTCTTGGACCCCCGGTTCAAGAACGCCTACTTCAAGCTGAAGAGGTGGGAGGGGTCGAACCCGACACTGGTGGCGGCGGTTGCTGATGGACCTAGGGTAGTCACGGATGTGAGCGAGGCGCATGTCAAAGAGTTGGTGCGCTCTCGTCTCCACTCGTACCTTGACGAGCAACGCCGCCGAGCCGTGGGCACAGTGCAGGAGGGCACGAGTGCAGGCGTGACGAGTGGGGAGGGGGAGAGTGGGCTGGGACAGGAGGGTGCCAGGAGGGAGGCCGCTGGGGGGCGCTTGACGGACTTGCTTGGCTCGCAGATGGACCTGATGGATGAGGAGGCGGGTGTGCAGCAAGTGGATGAGGTGGAGAGGTATCTCGGTGAGCAGAGGCTGGCCATGGATAAGTGCCCTCTCACATGGTGGCGTTCGCGCACCTCGCTGCCGGGGCTGCAGGCCATGGCTCGCGATTACCTTGCCATCCCTGCAACCTCGGCACCGAGTGAGCGGGCGTTCAGCCAGGGCCGAAACATTGTCAGCTGGCAGCGTCATCGGTTAAGTCCTGCTCAGGTGCGCGCAACCATGACTATCAAGTCATGGATGACGCAGCACGCGGACGTCAAACTCCCCATGGCACATCACGATGGAGGGTCGGGGGAGGTGTGTATTGAGGGTGATGACGAAGGGCTGTGAGGGAGGAGGGGCATTGGTCACATTCCGGAATTGCTTAAACTCTCCTTGGTATACTCGCATTCTATGTGAGGGTGCACACTCACCCGAGACCTCATGTTGACATGGTAGCTGCGTTTGTTGCATTGGCTAGTTTGCTAGATCGCATGCTTCCTACCTCAAACACTCTCCTGAAGCGAGCTACAAACACACTTGAACACTACTTGGTCGGGTGTCATGCATGATGGTAAAACATTTTGGTTTTGCAAAAGACACCCCTAGAATAGAGACAAGTTCCAGACTTAAGGCAGTTATGTCCTGGATAACACGAGTAAAAGAATTGTTTCATTCCCAGATACCTCAACAATGCAGTCACAAGTGTTTGAGATGCATTCTCATCAGGTCATAGCATACAGTAGCCCTTCGTGCTGAATTTTATACTCACCTAGGGATAGTCGGGTAATATTACCCGACTTTAAATAAATGCGGGTCGGGTATACCCGACCCGACAGACGGGTACCCAATTACCCGGTATTAAATTGCCGGGTCGGGTAACAAATCTCCAAACATTACCCGGAAATTACCCGACCCGACCCGACCCGGACCCGATCGCGGGTAGGGCAAAACCGGGTCGGGTCGGGTAATTACCCGGTTTTGCTCATGTCTGCCCGACCCGACCCGGCCGGGTAATTTGTCAGAATCCTATTACCCGACCCGGCCAAAATGTCGGGTCGGGTCGGGTACCCGCGACCCGACCGGGTAAAATGCTCAAGTCTAGGGCCAACTAAGGTTGGGCCGAGTTTCCACAGATGGGCGGCCCGAGCCCCACAAAATCCGGGCTGGACCCGGGCCGGGCCGGGCTGCCGGGCATTTTGCTCATGCCAAGTATGAGCCCCGTAGTGACAAAATAGACGGCTTTTGTTTAGGGGGAGGGGCGAGAAGCACTTGCTAATATGAAAATATATATACCTATGTATATATATATATACATACATACATACATATAGGCTTAGTTGGGCCCTTACGCCCAGCCAGCCGCGTAAACGTAACGTTACGCGTAACGTTACGTTTACGTTTACGTACGCGTAATTACGCGTACGTATTTCGGGGCAGGGGAAATTTTTTCGCCGGGTAAAAATCCCGAAATCTTCGAATCGCGGGCTAATGTCTCCTGATCGAATATAAAAAAAAAACCAGCGCGTCGAAATCGGTAAGGAGATCGCCCTACGTTATGCCCGCGATTTGCATAAGCTATGTGGAGGAGCGGCTCTGGGTTCACAGACTTCTAAGGAGTTAGACGGGTAAGTCGTTCTAGACTTGCGGAAGGGAGGTGGCGAGACAAATTAGGTCTGAGGAGATGGGCGATGGGGAGGAAGGGGGTTGGTTGTGCGCGTTACTTTTGTGGGAAGTGGGTGGGCGTTTCGTGCGTTGACTGGCAAAAGTTTGATGACGGCCAAGTCAACGTTGCCACCTCGCCACCCAGTTTCGTTAGTCCCTCGCTGTGAAATTACGAAATTGGGACGAATGTCGCAAATTGGGGATCGGCCAATCGTTGGCCACCGAATTTCTGCACATTTGTCGCAACAACAATCCACGCGCTTTCGCGTGGATCTTCCACAAGCCTACTTGGGGACCTCCTATACCTAGGGCAGCCCAAAAACGTTTAGCCTGCCCGGAAACGTAAACTCATTGCGTGAGCCCAAACGTACGCATAAACGTAACACGTAAACGTACGTAAACGTAAACGTACGAAAACGTAATTGACCAACTAAGCATATAGATACCTCAGGGGATGCTCACAAGCTTGTCATGCGGATCAAGTTGCCAATGGTTGAAGGAATCGAACCCGAGATTTGGCTTCCGCTTAGATCCCTGAAGGCGCACGTCACCGCACGAGATGGGTCCATCGGCAATAACAGACACTTTGTTACAAGGGGAATCGGTGGAATAGCAAGCAGTACCTTCTATGGAAACAAAAAAGTCGGCAAACAGCGACGGGAAAGGAGGGAAGAGAAGTGAGACAGGGAGAAAGATGGAGAGGGGTGAAGGTGTTCCGTGAAGGGGAAGGTAGAAGGGGGGAGAGAGCAAAGGCTGGAGGGAGGGAGAGGAATGAGGGATAGGAGGAGGGAGAGGACGGAGGGAGAGGGTGAGGGCTGGAAGGAGGGAGAGGACAGAGGAATAGAAGGAAGGCGAGAGAGAGAGAGTGAGAGATGCAGGGAGGGAGGGGGGAAAAGGGGAATACGGAGCGGGGAGAGGAAAGGAGATGCCAAGGCAAGGTGGAAATGGGGCCCTACAATTCTGCAGGCGTGCTCAAGGCTTCACTCACATGTCCGTTATCATGCCTTGGGCATCGCAGGTGATATTGCTTGCACTATTGCAGTCGCCACCAATCTTCCAGCCTTCAATCGTTCTGCTCCACGCCGTCTGACAGTCTAGCAGGACTTGTGCTGGGGGTGGGAGGAGGGAAGAGCAGGGATTGCAATAGAGAGGACTTCAAATGGTTCTCACGCCCTCCCACCTGCTGGTAGGTCACAAGGGCAATGACGATGAGGGGACAATGATGAGTGAAGCAAATATCCACTTTGCCCCTGTATAATTGATTGTCTCCTCGCCCACGACCTCTCACAACGTCGTCCTGCCCAGCCACAACCCTAACCCTGCTTAGTAGGCGTGTTCGACGGTCGGGCCTCAGGCTGGGCTGGCCTGGCCCGCGGGTACATGGCGGGCCGGGGTAGGCCTGCCCTCGGGCTCTGGCCGGCCCGAGCCCGTAGGGCTTCCCACGGGCCCAAATTCGACCTTCGTCCCGCCGAGGCCGGCCGGCCCGAGCCTGTGCAATGAACATCCCTACTGATCAGCCTCTCATCACCCACAACCAGTATCCCACAACCAGTATCCCACAACCAGTATCCCACAACCAGTATCCCACAACCAGTATCCCACAACCAGTATCCCACAACCAGTATCCCACAACCAGTATCCCACAACCAGTATCCCACAACCAGTATCCCACAACCAGTATCCCACAACCAGTATCCCACAACCAGTATCCACAACCAGTATCCCACAACCAGTATCCCACAACCAGTATCCCACAACCAGTATCCCACAACCAGTATCCCACAACCAGTATCCCACAACCAGTATCCCACAACCAGTATCCCACAACCAGTATCCCACAACCAGTATCCCACAACCAGTATCCCACAACCAGTATCCCACAACCAGTATCCCACAACCAGTATCCCACAACCAGTATCCCACAACCAGTATCCCACAACCAGTATCCCACAACCAGTATCCCACAACCAGTATCCCACAACCAGTATCCCACAACCAGTATCCCACAACCAGTATCCCACAACCAGTATCCCACAACCAGTATCCCACAACCAGTATCCCACAACCAGTATCCCACAACCAGTATCCCACAACCAGTATCCCACAACCAGTATCCCACAACCAGTATCCCACAACCAGTATCCCACAGCCAGTATCCCACAACCAGTATCCCACAACCAGTATCCCATCCTCTGTCGTCCCCTCGTCTCAGCCGCCATCCCACGCCACGCCGCTGCCCGCGCTTTCTACCGCACACACCCCTTTCAGCGGGCGCGTGCAGCAGCTGTCGGATGGAACGCCAGAGGTGAGAGATTACGCTGTCGGCAGACTCCGTCGACGAATGTAGACTCGGCAGGAAGCGGCCACCGGCGGGGAGCCATCACAAAATTGTGGGTCGGGCAAGCTACAGGAGTTGTGCAACCTTCGCACATGCTAAGCATTTCCAACCCCCTTATAGAGCTTTCCGGACCCACCTTTTTGGGATGGCAGTGCTTCCAGTGGGACGGGGTGACTCACCCCAGCTTTGGGGGCCAGCAGCCGTAGTGCGTACAGCGTAGGTAGGGAACGGCCGCCAGGAGTACATGGTATGCATGACCAGTGTGCGTTGTCCAGGACAAAGGCACATGGCTAAGGACGGTGCTGTAGGGAAAACTACTTGTATTATGTACATCAAAGGCTCAGCTTTTCTCGGAGCAATTCTACGCGGCTAATTGACGGAAATGAGTGGGGATGGGGAGTCAAGCTCCCCATGTGCCAATGAAAATCGAAGCGCTGATCGAGCACACACCCTGGGACTTGGCGAGGGGAACGCTGTCGACTCGCGAGGCCACGAGACAGGTCAGCAGGAGCAGCGCGCCGAGCCGAAGGCCTGCGCGCTCCATGACGCCGCGATGGTCGCGGCAAGCCGTCGCGGCGGTCAAAGGAGAGTCGCGTCTGGTCGTCGGTTGTGCAATTATTATAAGCCGGCTGGATCGAAGACAATCCCAGCTGCATGACGTAGTCTAAGTTCCTCGCGGTAGATTGCCTGGAAGCGAAAATCAGAGGTTGCAATGTTGGGGATCCTGTATCTGTCCCGAAAGAGACATCCAGGACAGATTTTTAAAGCCAGGGTCTCGAGTACCGAGATCTGGCAGCAACTGCAAAACAGTTGCTGCGTGGTTACCCCGTTTTGAGGGCGCGAAGTCGCAATTTGCCTGCTGTGCGACACACCCCCTTTTGCCCCAAAACCATTTGCAAAACAACTTCGTGGTACTCGAGACTTTTGACTTCCCACGGGGGTTTGGGGGCGTTTTAGGCTTGGTAACTGAACCAAGCCCGTGCCTAGCTCGTGCAGTTTTGTAAAAACGAAACCCAATCGAACTCGTCACCCGTTGTCAAAACTCCAACCAAACTTTGCACCTCGTCAGCCAATCCCAACCAACCCCTGACTCCAACTGCAAAACAGTTGCTTTACTTGAGACCCTGGCTTTAACTGATATAGCATTCAACATCTTCCGTGGAACTTAGATGGGTGAGCATACTCATGTTTTGTCAGGTATAGGCAAGTTAAAGCAGTCAAAGCAAGTGATTATGGAAGATTGGTTATTTAACACATATTCGGTTCTTCTGGCATGAAGCAGTTCCAATGCACTGGCAGGGTCTCCAATATTGTGGTTAGATCATGCAGCAAACGTATCGCAGGCTCACGCATGCTGGCATGCTCGTTTCTTCGTTTCCGCTGTCCACCAGATCTACCTCCCCGTTTCCTCATTCCCCAGCCAGCCGATCAGGTGCTACGGGGTCCGCCACTGGTCTGGTTTCAAGTAGTAATCAAGCTGCCGAAGCGTCGCCAATACGCGGCTAGTCCCCATGACGCGAGGGCGAGTAGTGTACCTCGTCGTGCTGCTCCTAGTACTTTCGCAGCCCTTCGCGAGACATTCTCTCTTCGCGAACGCCGACGAATTTGACGACGAGCGTTACGCGTACGACGAAGACGACGACGCCGTCGACGACGACGAGATCCCGGCCGGCGACGATGGCGACGTCGTCGCACTGACGGCGGCGACGTTTTCGCAGGCGCTTAACGACCACAAGCACCTATTGGTTGAGTTCTACGCGCCGTGGTGCGGCCACTGCAGGGCTCTCGCGCCCGAGTACCGCGCAGCAGCGGCGACGCTCAAGGAGCTCGGGGTGCTGCTGGCGAAAGTGGACGCGACGAAAGAGACGGAGCTCGCCGACAAGTACGGCGTGGAGGGTTACCCTACCATCCTTTTCGCCACGGATGGTGAATTCCAGCCGTTCGGCGCCGGGCGAACCAGGTGAGGGAGGAGCGAGTCTTCAACTCCCCTTGATCGCGTTCTGCCACGGCGTGGAGGCGTTATCCACCTGATCGGTCTCCCATGCCACCCTTGCCCTCTCAGACTGCCGTATCGCTGGACGTCATCTTGTGTTGTGCTATGTTTTTTACACTCTCCACCCCACCCCGTCCCCGTTCGTCTCCTCTGGAATCTCCCCGCCACTCCCCCGCAGTGCGCAGATCGTGGGGTGGGTGAAGCGCAAGCTGGGCCTGGGGGTGACCACCGTGCTGCCCAGCGACATCCCCAAGGTGGCGTCGCTTCTGGAGCACTCCGCTGCCACTGCCGTCGCATTCGTGCCCGCCCTTAATGTGAGCTCGTGCGCTGTCAGCCGTTGATGTAAGATTGTGAGATGCCCGGCCTTGGATTTGAGTTTGTGGTTTCTCTGCTGGAGCACTCTGCTGCTACTTCCGTTGCATTCGTGCTGCTGCGCACTTTTGATGACGCAGAGGCAGCGAGGCGGAGGCGGAAGGGCAGAGGCGGAAAGGCCCAGCCTGGTGTTTGTTTCGTCCCCTCATCCCTCCCCATGCGTCCCCGCCCCATGCCTTCCCTCCTCCATTCCACCCCTCTTATCGGCCTCAGATAGACAAGTTAACTGGATGGGCCGCAGCTGGGCCAGCCCGTCCCGAGCCCATATCTTGCCCGACGCAACGGGCCGAGCCGGCCCGAGGCCCACCATGTAGCAACGATGTCGGGCCGACTCGGTTTGGCGGGCCCCCGGTGTGGGCAACCTTGCGGGCTCAGGCAGGCCCATCCCGTGGGCGGGCGTAGAAGCCCGTCCAGTGGGAACCAGCCCGGCAAGAGCCCGCCCCCGCCCGGCCCGTGCAGGTCGGGATCGGTTGGCCCGAGGCCCGGCCAGTGAACATGCCTAGCTCCAGGCCCAGCCTGTTTTTTCCATCCCCGCATCCCTCCCTGGGCCTCCGCTTGCCTTCTCTCCTCCATGCCTCTTATAGGCGCCAGAGGCAGCGGCATTTAACGAGGCAGCCCGGGACACAGATGGGGTGGTTCGTCTAAGTTTCAACCCCTCATCCCTCCCCTCTCCGTGCCTTCCCCCTGGCCGCCCGGTGCATCCCCGTGCCTTCCCTCCTGTGTTTCCCCCTTTTGAAGACCCCAGAGGCAGCAGCCTTCAACGAGGCAGCCAGGGACACGGACGGGGTGGAGTTTGTCATCACCACTCACGCTGACGTTGCGGCCGCCTTCGGCTTGCCAGCTGGCAAGCCGCCCGTCCTGGCGGTGGTGAAGAAGGAGGAGGAGCGGTTCGTGGCGTTCGGTGAGCTCGTTATGGTGATGAACTGCGGTATATTGTGTGGAACTTGTGGGTGGCAAGGCTTGGCATGAGGTGGTTGGAGATGAGAAACTCGAAGACTCGAGGCATCTGGTGGCAAACTGCGAGGCTTGCAGGGAGGCTTGCAGGGAGGCTCGCAGGGGAGCTCGAGTAGCAATTCCTTCTTGCGAGTGGAGGGGGAGGAGTGAACTCTGGTAGCTTTTGATACCTGGTTTCTGCTGCGGTTTTGGATTAGTCAGCTGGATTGCTATGCATGAATGTCAGCTGGCGCTGTGTCTCTGTTGCTGCTGCTCTGGCATCCCTAGGGCGGACAGCCCATCCCGATCCACGCCGCCTGGCGAACCTGCCACCCTCTTCTTCCCTCTCTTCCTGCCCACCTGTCCAAGCGTTTATCAGAGGGAGGGTACGGCAAGGAGCCCAGCAGTGCGTTCTTGGCTGCCAACTGCCTTTCTCTGCTTCTCCCCTCCGACTCCCCCCTCTTTCACCCCGCCTTTCGCACACAAACACAAACACGCGCGCACACACACACGCGCACACACACACACGCACACGCGCACACACACACACACACACACACACACACACACACACACACGCACACACGCGCCCACGCCCATGCGCGTGCAGAGGGCGAGTACAGCAAGGAGGCCATCACGTCGTTCCTGGATGCCAACCGCCTGCCTCTGCTGCTCACTTACACGGAGGAGACCTCCGCCTCCATCTTCTCCAGCCACATCCCCCGCCAGGTGAGACGGGGCTTATCCCCAGGTGCGGCTGCACACAGGTGCGGCTGCACACAGGTGCGGCTGCACACAGGTGCGGCTGCACACAGGTGACGTTGCCAGCTGTCCATGCTTGATGAACAGTGACGTGTGACGGGTAAGCCATGTGACGGGTAAGCCATGTGACGGGTAAGCCATGTGACGGATAAGCCATGTGATGGGCATGCGAAACTGGCGCCCGGCGAACCACACGTCGATCGAGGGTCGAGGCTATGCATGGTTGGGAAGCTATTGGCTCCTGCATTCAGCTTTCACCCTGCGTAGCTCATCACCATGGCCCCCTCACCTTCTTTCACGCCCCATCTTTTCGTCATGCCCCTTTCTGTTTGCCCTCTGCCCTCCCCTCTGCCCTCTCCTCTGCCCTCCCCTCTGCCCCCCCCTGTGCCCTCCCCTGTGCCCTCCCCTCTGCCCTCCACTCTGCCCTCCCCTGTGCCCTACCCTCTACCTCCCCTCTACCTCCCCTCTACCTCCCCTCTACCTCCCCTCTACCTCCCCTCTACCTCCCCTCTGCCCTCCCCTCGGCCTCGCCAGGTGCTGCTCTTTGCATCAGACAGTGCGTTCCAGGAGCTCTCCCCTGCGCTCCTCGCAGCAGCCAGGCAGTTCAAGGGACAGGTGTGTGCCAGGCACGTGCAACAGGAGTGCCGTTGATGGGCTGTTCAATCATCTGATCAGGGTCTCAGAGATGTCAGACCCCCAAACAGAGATTGTCAAACATCAAGCAGCAACACATTGGCTGTCCCTCTATCTGTGACCTGTGTTGGCGCTCTGTCACTCACTCCCTTCTTGCTTTGTGTTTCCCGCCGGCACCTGTGTTAGCAGGTGGAGTGGGGCACCCTGTTTCTCTTGCATGCTCTCCTGCGTTTTCCTCGTTCCGCACTACCTCCTGCCCTCCTCCCTTCATTGCGCCCTCTCGTCCTCGTCTCTACCTTCGGCTGTTCCTCCCTCCCTCCTTGCCTTTTCTCAAGGGGTCCTTTGTATTAAAGCCCGTGTCTCATATTTCCTCAGGTAATACTCTTGGTACTAGGTAACGTAGGTTCTCTTTGTGCGAGGGCTCGCAAGTGAGTGCGAGAGAGATATGCAACCTCAGCAAAGCGAACCCGAAGACACGTTTGTAATAACCGAGTTTTCGGAACCTGGGCTAGTGACACGGAATCAGGACCCGAAACGTCTCACGCAACAAAATTTCTGCCCAGAATCCAACACTGGAATCGCAACTGCTTGCGAAACTTTGAGAACCCGACCCCCACCATCCATGCCCTCAACGTTCCGTGGGCTCAAACCAAACGTAATATGACTCCGCAGAAATACGAGACTCCAAGCCTCGTCAAAGTTGGACCCTCAACGATTTTCAAAATTGTCGCAACCCTTGCCCACTCACTTTCAAAGTTTCGCCCCTCGCCCCAAAATCAGAACCTCCCACCAAAGGTAATACCTTTGGTCGGTAGGAAATGTGAGATGCGGGCTTTAATGCGGTCCCTCCCTTCCCCTTCCCCAATCCACCTGCCCCCCTCTCCGTTCTATCCTCCCACTTACCGTCCCCTCCAGTCCATTTTTGTGTACGTCAACGCCTCTCACCCTGAATGTGAGGGGTCAGGTCAGCGCCAAAGTACTCCTTCCCCCCATCTCCCCCTCCCCCTCCTCCTCCCTTCCGTCCAGGCCACGTTAGTGTACGTCAACGGCTCTGACCCCGCGTCCAGCCAGTTACCATCTGTGCATCTCTCTCACTCCAACCCCCCCCCATCCCCCCTCCCCCCAGGCCATGTTTGTGTACGTCAACAGTTCTGACCCCGAGTCGCAACCTGTCCAGGAGTATTTCGGAGCTGACCTTTCCACCACTGCAGTAAGGGCATGGCTTGTTGTCCGCATGCAATGCAAGTAGGCACCTGTGATCACACACCTGTTCACACGCCTCCTCTCACGCTCGCGCACATGCCCTTGTGTTCATTGACCCAGTCCTGCATTCGTTGCCACCTGTGCACCATGTGTGCCGTTCATGCCGCCTCACGTGCTGCCCCGCATGCTGCTCCACATGCTGGCCCACATGCTGCCCCACATGCTGCCCCACATGTTGCCCTACATGCTGCCCCACATGCTGCCCCACATGCTGCCCCACATACTGCCCAACATACTGCCCCACATGCTGCCCCACATGCTCCCCCACATGCTGCCCCACATACTGGCCCACATGCTGCCCCACATGCTGCCCCACATGCTTCCCCACATGCTGCCCCACATGCTGACCCACATGCTGCCCCACATGTTGCCCTACATGCTGCCCCACATGCTGCCCCACATGCTGCCCCACATACTGCCCAACATACTGCCCCACATGCTGCCCCACATGCTGCCCCACAAACTGGCCCACATGCTGCCCCACATGCTGCCCCACATGCTGTCCCACATGCTGGCCCACATTTTGCCCCACATGCTGCCCCACATGCTGCTCCACATGCTGTCGCACATGCTGCCCCACATGCTGCCCCCATGCTGCCCCCATGCTGCCCCACATGCTGCCCCACATGCTGCCCCACATGCTGCTCCACATGCTGGGCCACATGCTACCCCACGTGCTGCCCCACATGCTGCCCCACATGCTGCCCCACTTGCTGCCCCACATGCTGCCCCACATGCTGCCCCACATGCTGCCCCACATGCTGCCCCACATGCTGCTCCACATACTGGCCCACATGCTGCCCCACATGCTGCCCCACATGCTGTCCCACATGCTGGGCCACATGCTACCCCACGTGCTGCCCCACATGCTGCCCCACATGCTGCCCCACATGCTGCCCCACATGCTGCCCCACATGCTGCCCCACATGCTGCCCCACATGCTGCCCCACATGCTGCCCCACATGCTGCCCCACATGTTGCCCCACATACTCGCCCACATGCTGCCCCACATGCTGCCCCACATGCTGTCCCACATGCTGCCCCACATTTTGCCCTACATGCTGCCCCACATGCTGCCCACATGCTGCCCCACATGCTATCCCACATGCTGCCCCACATACTGCCCAACATACTGCCCCACATGCTGCCCCACATGCTGCCCCACATACTGGCCCACATGCTGCCCCACATGCTGCCCCACATGCTGTCCCACATGCTGCCCCACATTTTGCCCCACATGCTGCCCCACATGCTGCTCCACATGCTGTCGCACATGCTGCCCCACATGCTGCCCCCATGCTGCCCCCATGCTGCCCCACATGCTGCCCCACATGCTGCCCCACATGCTGTCCCACATGCTGGGCCACATGTTACCCCACGTGCTGCCCCACATGCTGCCCCACATGCTGCCCCACATGCTGCCCCACATGCTGCCCCACATGCTGCCCCACATGCTGCCCCACATGCTGACCCACATGCTGCCGCACATGCTGCCCCACATGCTGCCCCACATGCTGCCCCACATGCTGCCCCACATACTGCCCGAAATTCTGGCCCACATGCTGCCCCACATGCTGCCCCACATGCTGGCTCACATGCTGCCCCACATGCTGCCGACATGCTGTCCCACATGCTGCCCCACATGCTGCCCCCATCCTGCCCCATACTGCCCCACATGCTGCCCCACATGCTGCCCCACATGCTGCCCCACATGCTGTTCCACATGCTGGCCCACATGCTACCCCACATGCTGCCCCACATGCTGCCCCACATGCTACCCCACATACTGGCCCACATGCTGCCCCACATAATGCCCACATGCTGTCCCACATGCTGCCCCACATGCTGCCCCACATGCTGCCCCACATGCTGCCCCACATGCTGTTCCACATGCTGGCCCACATGCTACCCCACATGCTGCCCCACATGCTGCCCCACATGCTACCCCACATGCTTGCCCACATGCTGCCCCACATGCTGCCCACATGCTGTCCCACATGCTGCCCCACATGCTGCCCCACATGCTGGCCCACATGCTATCCCACATGCTGCCCCGCATTTTGCCCCACATGCTGTCCCCATGCTGCCCCACATGCTGCTCCACATGCTGTCCCACCTGCTGCCCCACATGCTGCCCCAATGCTGCCCCCATGCTGTCCCACATGCTGCCCCACACGCTGCCCCATTTGCTGTCCCACGTGCTGCCCCACATGCTACCCCACATGCTGCCCCACATGCTACCCCACATGCAGCCCCACATGCTGCCCCACATGCTGTCCCACATGCTGCCCCACATGCTGCCCCACATGCTGTTCCCATGTCGCCCAACATGCTGCTCCACATGCGGTCCCACATGCTGCCCCACATGCTGCCCCCATGCTGGCCCCATGCTGCCCCACATGCTGTCCCACATGCTGCCGCTCATGCTGGCCCACATGCTGCCCCACATGCTGCCCCACATGCTGCCCCACATGCTTCCCCACATGCTGCCCCACATGCTATCCCACATGCTGCCCCACATTTTGCCCCACATGCTGCCCCACATGCTGCCACACATGCTGCCGCTCATGCTGCCCCACACGCTGCCCCACATGCTGCCTCACATGCTGCCCCACATGCTGCCCCACATGCTGCTCCACATGCTGCCCCACATGCTGCCCATCTGCAGTCCCACATGCTGCCCCTCATGCTGCCCCACATGCTGCCCTACATGCTGCCCCACATGCTGCCCCACATGCTGCCCCACATGCTGCCGACATGCTGTCCCACATGCTGCCCCACATGCTGCCCCCATGCTGGCCCCATGCTGCCGATATGCTGCCCCACATGCTGCCCCACATGCTGCCCCACATGCTGGCCCACATGCTGTCCCACATGCTGCCCCACATTTTGCCCCACATGCTGTCCCCATGCTGCCTCACATGCTGCTCCACATGCTGTCCCACCTGCTGGCCCATATGCTGCCACAATGCTGCCCCCATGGTGCCCCACATGCTGCCCCACACGCTGCCCCACATGCTGTCCCACGTGCTGCCCCACATGCTACCCCACATGCTGCCCCACATGCTGCCCCCATGCTGCCCCTCATGCTGCTCCACATGCTGTCCCACCTGCTGCCCCACATGCTGCCCCAATGCTGCCCCCATGCTGTCCCACATGCTGCCCCACACGCTGCCCCACATGCTGTCCCACGTGCTGCCCCACATGTTACCCCACATGCTGCCCCACATGCTGCCCCACATGCTTCCCCACATGCTGCCCCACATACTGCCCCACATGTTGCCCTACATGCTGCCCCACATGCTGCCCCACATGCTGCCCCACATACTGCCCAACATACTGCCCCACATGCTGCCCCACATGCTGCCCCACATACTGGCCCACATGCTGCCCCACATGCTGCCCCACATGCTTCCCCACATGCTGCCCCACATGCTGACCCACATGCTGCCCCACATGTTGCCCTACATGCTGCCCCACATGCTGCCCCACATGCTGCCCCACATACTGCCCAACATACTGCCCCACATGCTGCCCCACATGCTACCCCACAAACTGGCCCACATGCTGCCCCACATGCTGCCCCACATGCTGTCCCACATGCTGCCCCACATTTTGCCCCACATGCTGCCCCACATGCTCCTCTACATGCTGTCGCACATGCTGCCCCACATGCTGCCCCCATGCTGCCCCCATGCTGCCCCACATGCTGCCCTACATGCTGCCCCACATGCTGTCCCACATGCTGGGCCACATGCTACCCCACGTGCTGCCCCACATCCTGCCCCACATGCTGCCCCACATGCTGCCCCACATGCTGCCCCACATGCTGCCCCACATGCTGCCCCACATGCTGCCCCACATGCTGCCCCTTATGCTGCCCCACATGCTGCCCCAGATACTGGCCCACATGCTGCCCCACATGCTGCCCCACATGCTGTCCCACATGCTGGGCCACATGCTACCCCACGTGCTGCCCCACATGCTGCCCCACATACTGCCCCACATGTTGCCCTACATGCTGCCCCACATGCTGCCCCACATGCTGCCCCACATACTGCCCAACATACTGCCCCACATGCTGCCCCACATGCTGCCCCACATGCCGCCCACATGTTGGCCCACATGCTATCCCACATGCTGCCCCACATACTGCCCAACATACTGCCCCACATGCTGCCCCACATGCTGCCCCACATGCTGCCCCACATACTGGCCCACATACTGCCCCACATGCTGCCCCACATGCTGTCCCACATGCTGCCCCACATTTTGCCCCACATGCTGCCCCACATGCTGCTCCACATGCTGTCGCACATGCTGCCCCACATGCTGCCCCACATACTGCCCAACATACTGCCCCACATGCTGCCCCACATGCTGCCCCACATACTGGCCCACATGCTGCCCCACATGCTGCCCCACATGCTGTCCCACATGCTGCCCCACATTTTGCCCCACATGCTGCCCCACATGCTGTCCGACATGCTGGGCCACATGCTACCCCACGTGCTGCCCCACATGCTGCCCCACATGCTGCCCCACATGCTGCCCCACATGCTGTCCCACATGCTGCCCCACATGCTGCCCCACATGCTGCCCCACATGCTGCCCACATGCTGCCCCACATGCTGCCCCACATACTGGCCCACATGCTGCCCCACATGCTGCCCCACATGCTGTCCCACATGCTGGGCCACATGCTACCCCACGTGCTGCCCCACATGCTGCCCCACATGCTGCCCCACATGCTGCCCCACATGCTGCCCCACATGCTGCCCCACATGCTGCCCCACATGCTGCCCCACATGCTGCCCCACATGCTGCCCCACATGCTGCCCCACATGCTGCCCCACATGCTGCCCCACATGCTGCCCCACATGCTGCCCCACATGCTGCCCCACATACTGGCCCACATGCTGGCCCACATGCTGCCCCACATGCTGT